GAACTTAAATGAACCAGTAAAACGCCTTTTGGGCGACCAACGGAGCGAGCGAGAGGATGGGCCTTGCACGTGCGAAATTGCGAGGGGGTACCTCCATGACTAACTTGTGCACTGCACCCTACTAACCGGTCTTTAGCGATGTGCCAAATTTCAGCGCAGTCCGCCTAGCCGTTCTCGAGATCTGGAAGCGGCACACTGCACGTGCGCACGTGCAAGCGGGGTCCAAACTGACTTTTGCATGGCACCCTACTAACTGGTCCCCAACCGTGTACCAAATTTGAGCGCAATCGGCCCAGCCGTTCTCGAGATCTGGGAGCGCCCCCTGCACGTGCGCACGTGCTGTAGCACCCCAACCTTAACACATGTAGATGAATTATTTGATGGAGACCTAACTGTGTACCGAGTTTCAATTCAATCGGCCCAACCGTTGTGCCGTTATTGAGGTTGCAATTTTGGGGGTTCTTAAAAAATGTCCAACTTTACCACGCGCCACGTGCGGTGGTTGGCAAGAACGCATGGTGGCCATCACACCACAGAACTTTTACGTCCAAGTGACATTCAGTAAAGAAGACCGCTTGTCAATCGGATGTCCCGTTCCTAAGATATTAGCTTTTGAAGAGCGTCCCCACGGCCGGCCGGCCGCTCATACTCAGGATTTTCCCTTAATTCAGTATGAGACTCCGCTCGCTTCGCTCGCTCCGTAATCAATATTGATTTTTTAAACGATTTTATAAAACTTTATCATTTTTATCGAAATGACCACCATTAAAAACCAGTAAAACGCCTTTTAGGCGACCAACGGAGCGAGCGAGAGGATGGGCCTTGCAGTTGCACGTGCGAAATTGCGAGGGGGTACCTCCAACTAACTTGTGCACTGCACCCTACTAACCGGTCTTTAGCGATGTGCCAAATTTCAGCGCAATCGGCCTAGCCGTTCTCGAGATCTGGAAGCGGCACACTGCACGTGCGCACGTGCAAGCGGGGTCCAAACTGACTTTTGCACGGCACCCTACTAACTGGTCCCCAACCGAGTACCAAATTTGAGCGCAATCGGCCTAGCCGTTCTCGAGATCTGGGAGCGCCCCCTGCACGTGCGCACGTGCTGTAGCACCCCAACCTTAACACATGCAGATGAATTATCTGATAGAGACCTAACTGTGTACCGAGTTTCAATTCAATCGGCCCAACCGTAGTGCCGTTATTGAGGTTGCAATTTTGGGGTTCTTAAAAAAATGTCCAACTTTACCACGCGCCACGTGCGGTGGTTGGCAAGAACGCATGGTGGCCATCACACCACAGAACTTTTACGTCCAAGTGACATTCAGTAAAGAAGACCGCTTGTCAATCGGATGTCCCGTTCCTAAGATATTAGCTTTTGAAAAGCGTCCCCACGGCCGGCCGGCTGGCCGGCCGGCCGCTCATACTCAGGATTTTCCCCCCTATTCCTGGCGGGCTCCGCCGGAGTTATTGGCCAAAAACCTTTGGTGACCTTTGATGACGTCACATGACCTCACAGCTGCCCAACAGCAAAACAGACCTCAAGGTAGTGAAGGTTGATCGTATATGAAGTCATGTATGGTATATGGGGCCATTCCGACCCGTTTTAGTGGTAAAAACAGGGAGTTGATTTATCCCCCATTGACTTATAATGGGGAGGTCGCGAAACTGACCTGACCTTAGGTCACCGATATCAAAATTCCGAGATATACAAATTGCACATACTGGTACCCTAACTAAAGCCTGAAGAGAAGAAAGTGATCGGTCAAAAACTCTAGCTCTGACGTGATTGCAAACTTTTTCTGAGGTTGGGTCACCAAACCGCCTCTGGTGACCTGACCTGAGGTCAGATCAACTCAAAATTTTCAGACATGTTGCGTAGAAGCCTTTTAGGAAAAATCAGAAAATTTGAGCTTCCTAGCTCAACGCGTTTGGGAGAAATAACCAAAAAACCTCAGGGGGGCTCCTGAGGCCCCCCCCCCGCCAGGAATAGGGTTAATTCAGTATGAGACTCCGCTCGCTTCGCTCGCTCCGTAATAACTAAATAGCCTGAAGGTACCAAGCTTGGAAGGTTTCAGGTCAAACCTCAAAGCTAGGTCAGCCTAGGTCACGGAAATTGTATATCATGTATGGGTAACGTGACGCATGTTTTATGGCCCATTTCGGCCATAGAGTTCGCAATCAGAGCCGTCTGTGTCATCTGATGCCATTTTCAGCTGAATATACATAGCTGAGGTCAGGTCACTATCAGGTCAAAAAGGTCGAATCTTGAAGTCGATTTTTTTTTTCAATCAAAAAGGGGGCACCAGATGCAATTTTAGCTCAGAAACACGATGGTCCTTTTTGTTTTGGTGTACGATGTCGGAGGCGTAGGTATTGAAATACGGATTTGAAATATTGATAATGGTGAAATGTTGACTGATGTAGTATACAATACAATACAACACATGTATACAATACAACACATGACTGATCAATATTTCAAATCCGTATTTCAATACCTACGCCTCCGACATCGTACACCAAAACAAAAAGGACCATCGTGTTTCTGAGCTAAAATTGCATCTGGTGCCCCCTTTTTGATTGAAAAAAAAAATCGACTTCAAGATTCGACCTTTTTGACCTGATAGTGACCTGACCTCAGCTATGTATATTCAGCTGAAAATGGCATCAGATGACACAGACGGCTCTGATTGCGAACTCTATGGCCGAAATGGGCCATAAAACATGCGTCACGTTACCCATACATGATATACAATTTCCGTGACCTAGGCTGACCTAGCTTTGAGGTTTGACCTGAAACCTTCCAAGCTTGGTACCTTCAGGCTATTTAGTTATTACGGAGCGAGCGAAGCGAGCGGAGTCTCATACTGAATTAACCCTATTCCTGGCGGGGGGGGGCCTCAGGAGCCCCCCTGAGGTTTTTTGGTTATTTCTCCCAAACGCGTTGAGCTAGGAAGCTCAAATTTTCTGATTTTTCCTAAAAGGCTTCTACGCAACATGTCTGAAAATTTTGAGTTGATCTGACCTCAGGTCAGGTCACCAGAGGCGGTTTGGTGACCCAACCTCAGAAAAAGTTTGCAATCACGTCAGAGCTAGAGTTTTTGACCGATCACTTTCTTCTCTTCAGGCTTTAGTTAGGGTACCAGTATGTGCAATTTGTATATCTCGGAATTTTGATATCGGTGACCTAAGGTCAGGTCAGTTTCGCGACCTCCCCATTATAAGTCAATGGGGGATAAATCAACTCCCTGTTTTTACCACTAAAACGGGTCGGAATGGCCCCATATACCATACATGACTTCATATACGATCAACCTTCACTACCTTGAGGTCTGTTTTGCTGTTGGGCAGCTGTGAGGTCATGTGACGTCATCAAAGGTCACCAAAGGTTTTTGGCCAATAACTCCGGCGGAGCCCGCCAGGAATAGGGGGGAAAATCCTGAGTATGAGCGGCCGGCCGGCCAGCCGGCCGGCCGTGGGGACGCTTTTCAAAAGCTAATATCTTAGGAACGGGACATCCGATTGACAAGCGGTCTTCTTTACTGAATGTCACTTGGACGTAAAAGTTCTGTGGTGTGATGGCCACCATGCGTTCTTGCCAACCACCGCACGTGGCGCGTGGTAAAGTTGGACATTTTTTTAAGAACCCCAAAATTGCAACCTCAATAACGGCACTACGGTTGGGCCGATTGAATTGAAACTCGGTACACAGTTAGGTCTCTATCAGATAATTCATCTGCATGTGTTAAGGTTGGGGTGCTACAGCACGTGCGCACGTGCAGGGGGCGCTCCCAGATCTCGAGAACGGCTAGGCCGATTGCGCTCAAATTTGGTACTCGGTTGGGGACCAGTTAGTAGGGTGCCGTGCAAAAGTCAGTTTGGACCCCGCTTGCACGTGCGCACGTGCAGTGTGCCGCTTCCAGATCTCGAGAACGGCTAGGCCGATTGCGCTGAAATTTGGCACATCGCTAAAGACCGGTTAGTAGGGTGCAGTGCACAAGTTAGTTGGAGGTACCCCCTCGCAATTTCGCACGTGCAACTGCAAGGCCCATCCTCTCGCTCGCTCCGTTGGTCGCCTAAAAGGCGTTTTACTGGTTTTTAATGGTGGTCATTTCGATAAAAATGATAAAGTTTTATAAAATCGTTTAAAAAATCAATATTGATTACGGAGCGAGCGAAGCGAGCGGAGTCTCATACTGAATTAAGGGAAAATCCTGAGTATGAGCGGCCGGCCGGCCGTGGGGACGCTCTTCAAAAGCTAATATCTTAGGAACGGGACATCCGATTGACAAGCGGTCTTCTTTACTGAATGTCACTTGGACGTAAAAGTTCTGTGGTGTGATGGCCACCATGCGTTCTTGCCAACCACCGCACGTGGCGCGTGGTAAAGTTGGACATTTTTTAAGAACCCCCAAAATTGCAACCTCAATAACGGCACAACGGTTGGGCCGATTGAATTGAAACTCGGTACACAGTTAGGTCTCCATCAAATAATTCATCTGCATGTGTTAAGGTTGGGGTGCTACAGCACGTGCGCACGTGCAGGGGGCGCTCCCAGATCTCGAGAACGGCTGGGCCGATTGCGCTCAAATTTGGTACACGGTTGGGGACCAGTTAGTAGGGTGCCGTGCAAAAGTCAGTTTGGACCCCGCTTGCACGTGCGCACGTGCAGTGTGCCGCTTCCAGATCTCGAGAACGGCTAGGCGGACTGCGCTGAAATTTGGCACATCGCTAAAGACCGGTTAGTAGGGTGCAGTGCACAAGTTAGTCATGGAGGTACCCCCTCGCAATTTCGCACGTGCAAGGCCCATCCTCTCGCTCGCTCCGTTGGTCGCCCAAAAGGCGTTTTACTGGTTCATTTAAGTTCCATTTAATCAAATATGACCTAAAACGAGGTGAAAATGGGAATCCATGCCTACCATTCTTTTTTTTACGACGAAAAATTCAGAAGTCAACAAAATCACCTTTTTATCATTACGTCGACCACACCCCGGACCTACCTGGCTGCCTGCACTCTCCTCCTCTCCCCTTGCCTCCGTTCCTCTGTCCAACGCCCTCCCGCCGTCACACCAACGCGTCCCGCCGGGACCTCGGGTCAGCACTGACTGATGGGCGCGAGTCTGACCGACGCAATGGCGCTGGGGGGACGGGGGAGGGGAGGGGGGTTCCGCGCAGCTGTGTAGTGTTAGAGTGCGCCTACATACGGACCAATCTGCCCAGAGGTGTGCCCAGGAGCCGGCCAGGGGAGGTGGCGCATCGCGCGGTGTGAAAAAAAAACTGTCTCCGCTTCCGAAGAACCGATAAAGTCGTTTCCACAGCAGTTATGTGGCACATATTCATAGTTCACCTTTGGTGCGAGTTGTTCAAATGAGGATAAAAGTTGATTTTTAGAAGTTGTTTACCTTAAGTCGCACTAGTTGCATTATTGAATAAATACCAGATGATAAATTATCTAACTTAACTTTCGATTTAGCATTGAAATAAGTCCATAACCTGAAAATATATCCAAAGAATTATGTGCATTACCTTGTAAAATGAGATTTGGTGCAGATGTGCTGCCCTTTTTGAAGCTTTAAAACTTCTCATCTAGGCACGCTTTTATCCATTGAGGGACCGGCTTGGGAGAGAGCTGGTAGGATCCCCGTGGTGGCTCCTATGACATTTAAGAATTATCAATTTTCAGGGTGCAATGGATGAAAAATAAACAAGATGTACTCTGGGCACTCCGCGTGTGCCACTCACACTTGTACATGCAGCACGCCTAGAGATCTCGCTCTTGCACAAATTTTGTGATTTTGTAGCATATTTTAGGGGATTTGGGAACTAAAATATAACAAGTTAAATTGTTACTGTGAAAAGCTTCGCATAGCTATAACTATAGATGCTATAAAATTGTTCTGATAAAAGCATCATTATCTATAATACATACCTACTATAAACCGAGAGAGAAAATAAAAGAATCATTGTTTTCACGCCTAAAAAGTGTATAATAATAAACACATTTCCTAGTATACCTACACATACGGAAATTTACGCTATCTTTAATCAGCCTTGGGGGTTGGATTCTCATGCTCCATATGGATGAGAGTTAAGCTTATCATCCGATCAGCAAAGGTGCAAACCAAAATAACCTTGCAATCATCTGTCAACAGATCCAGAAATACTACGGACAAACACCCTGCTACGCTCTAGCAGCAGTGCGCAAGCACTAAAACACTCAAGCACTCCAGCCTTCTTCCGGCTTTCGACATCAAGCTTACAACGGTATCCTTGTACGTACAACAAATATAGGTATCAGAACATATAGGTACTCGAGTAGGTAAACATTGCATCTGAAAGACATGCAACGACAGGGTACCGCTGAGGAGGTGCGGGCTAACAGAGCCTCGTAGAGGGCGAATTGGAAACCACAGGAAAAAAAACGAGAGGAAATGAGGTGATTAAGAACTGGAATCAGTCTGGAGTCTGGACTGTCCTAAAACATATAGGCAGATTTTGCGCATTAAAGGAACTATCCCACCTTCTAAAATGTTGTTAAAACCAGTTAAATTGTGCCCGACTTTATAGATTGGATGACCAGGAACACGGTTCTGGCATTTATTTTTCATTAAACATCTTAGACTTCCCATATTCCAAACACAAACTTTCAAATATGTGACGTCACAGCCCAAAATTACCTCCTTCCCCAGGCCACATAACTGTCATAAAGCTGATTCTTTTTACTCTGTAGGCACCACAACAAAGTTCAGACCAAGTTTTAAGCGATTTTTCAACGAACAAACCCATTTAAATCAGAATGACTAAACGAGGTGACGTCACACTAACGGTCGCTCCATGTTGAAGATAGGGCCTTGCGCAAGGCCCATTTTCAAATGAAGGGAACGAATTTCTTCAACACCAAGAGGCCGCGGGGGTTGCAACCTATTATAGATAGATAGTGGTTTCTGAACCTCGCCGCAAACTTGGCTATCTCAACTCAAACCCCATGTTAAAGGTGGGATAGTCCCTTTAATCACTAATCAGGACTTCTTACGAACATTGGACTGAATGATGTGGGAAAGAATTTAGTTTAATCTTGATGTTTTCATCTTCGGATATTCTGATTTTTCTCGCATTGTCCCGCACATCACTGCAGCATCACATCGGCCGATTTCAATATAGCGCAATACTTAAATGTCGGACATTTAAGCATTGCGCTATATGATATAGGAACAATACCTACTACAAAACACAGTCCACCTTATTATGCCAAATCTGCTATCCACCAACTTGCCACAGAAGCAATGCGGTATACCTACCTCAGTGCAGTTGAGCTAGTCGATGAATTGAGCAGATACATGGCGTATCACTTCAATCTGCCATAAATGGCAAGTAATTTCAGTCTGTCATTAATGACAGCCCATGACATGTGACGTCACAGACCGGTAGTGTGTCCGAGACCCGAGTCAAGAGCTGAAGTGGGGCGCTTCTCCCGCAGCGTGGCCACATACAACAGATTTCCATTGAATTAATGTCAATATGGCAGCCGACCTGTTTTAGGATGGGCTCACCAGCAGGCAGGCAGCTGACCACAACACACCGAGTGATGCGTTGCGAGGGACACTTTTGATTGTAGGTCACTGTAAATCATGCAGTGTATGGTGATGACGCGTTAATGATTTCAGGAACTCAGACGATGACCTCTGCACTATCGCGAAAACGTCTCGGAATCCATCAACCATTAACTAATTATTTCAATGAGTGCGTATGCTGCTGTTATTAAAAAGAAAGAAAATCGCTTGCTCCATCCAGTAACTTCTCGTAAATGAGCTTCAATGTGAGTGTACATACAGGTCTCGCGGATTTTACCGGTAGA